ATAGACACATATTTTGGATGAAATTGGTAAAACGTTCAAAAAACTATTTCACGATCAAAATCACAAAAAAACTGTATACTTATAGTACACAGATTTTGGGTAAAATTAGTGGATAGTCCAAAAAAAAATTTCACGTTCAAAATCACTAAAATCTGTATACTATTATAGTACACATATTTTAGTTAAAATTGGTGCAACGTCAAAAAACTATTTCACAATCCAATCAAAATCACAAAAAACTGTATAATATATAGTACACATAGGTTAGTTAAAATTGGTGGAACGTCCAAAAAACTCTTTCACGATTAAAATCACCAAAAATGATGTACTATAAATACACAGATTTTGAATAAAATTGGTGGATCGTCCAATAACTATTTCACGATCAAAATCACAAAAAACTGTATGCTATAGTACACAAATTTTTGATAAAATTGGTGGATCATCAAAAAAAAAAATCATGATCAAAATCACCGAAAACTGTATATTATGTACACAGATTTTGGGTAAAATTGGTGGAACGTCCCAAAAAAAATTTCACGATCAAAATCATCAAAAAATGTACGTTATAATACATGGATTTTGGATAAAATTGGTGGAACGTCAAAAAAAAAATTTCACGATCAAAATAACATAAAACTGTACACAGATTTTAAATGAAATTGGTGGAACGTCCAAAAAACTTTTTCACCGATCAAAATCACCCAAAACTGTACGCTATAGTACACAAATTTTGGGTAAAATCGGTGGAACGTCCAAAATAAAATTTCACGATCAAAATTACAAAAAACTGTGTACCATAGTACACATATTTTGGGTAAAATTGGTGGAACGTCCAAAAAACTATTTCACGATCAAAATCACCAGAAAATGTATACTATAGTACACAGATTTTGGATAAAATTTGTGAAACGTCCAAAAAACTTTTTCACGGTTAAAATCACCAAAAATTGATTCCAATTTTATCAAAAAATTGTGTACTATAGTATATACAGTTTTTTGTGATTTTGATCGTGAAATAGTTTTTTGGATGTTGTACCAATTTTAACTAAAAATTGTGTACTATTATACTGTTTTTGATGATTTTGATCGTGAAAAAGTTTTTACACACACTACACCGAAAACACACACTAAAAAGAATTACACAAACTACACTGAAAACACAGACTAAAAGCATTTACAACCAAAGAAATACACTAAAAAATATACACTCACCGAAAACACACATGAGAAAGTTAGTTCTTTTAGTGGGTGGAAAGTGAATAAGAAGAATGCATTTCTTGTGATTCACAACTTAAAAGTGTAATGTAGTTGTCTTTGTCCATTAACATTTTGAATAGTTGAATTGTTATTCCTAAATTTTAGTTTGGTGGAAATGTAAAAATATAGCTACATTACATATTGTAAATTAGAAACCTCATTCAATCTATTTTTCCATGCGTACAAACTTGTAGGTAATCGTAAGATATAGGGGTGGTTTTGGTACGGTTGCCGAATATTTTGATCAATACTGTGTACCTACTGAATTATATGGTATTGAAAAATTCGATATCGTTACCGTACCAACAAGTGCGGTATACCGTTACCACTTTCGGTACGGTATATCGATACATGGTAACTCTACCGTACCGTATGATAGTGGTACAGTACCAATACCGTACCAAATGTAATGCTTACTGAAGTTTCGGTAAATTTTCGTTATTGTTTTATAGGTACTGTAATATTCGGTAAGCAGTAATTATTTTCCAGGCCTAGTAAAATATATCGGTAAATCAAAATTTTAAAAATTGGAATGAAAAAATTTGTTATTCAGCAATTCCAAATTGACATTATCAGTATAATTTTAAGAAAAAATGCAAAATGGTGGGCCCTACATAACCAAGAAAAATCGTCACTCTGGTCGTCAGCAAGCTATTTTGTGGCTTAAATTTATCCACGTGGCAATGTGCTACTTGCCAGCAACTAGATTTGCCTTCCCCCTACTGACATTCTCTCTCCTCCATGAATTTGATAGACAAAGATATAAAGTTATACTTGATGAAGCCCATACCACTACTTCCGCCAACTCATCAATCAATATTGTTTAGAGAGAGAGAGGTTTTAGAGAGAGAAAGAAGCGAAGGGGAACCATCAAATCTAACGGAAATAGGAATGACGCAATTAGACGGCGGTGGAGGCAAGTATTTTCCGGCGGGTTGGAACGTGGCGGCGGCGAAGCCTTGCGACTACTGCAACTCCACGGCGGCGCTGCTCTTCTGCCGCGCCGAGTCCGCTTTCATGTGCATGTCTTGCGATGCCAAGCTGCACAGCGCCGACGACAAGCCGGCGGCGGCGCGTAGGCACGAGCGCGTCTGGATGTGCGATGTGTGCCAACAGGCCCCCGCCGCGGTCACCTGCAAAGCGGACGCCGCCGCCCTCTGCGTTACCTGCGATCGAGACATCCACTCCGCCAACCCCCTCGCCCGCCGCCACGAGCGCGCCGCGGTTGTTCCTTTCTACGACACCGCCGAATCCATGGTACCGATGAAGTCATCAACCCCTTCTTCCACCGCCGCCGCCCTCTCAGGCGGCGATTCTCACCGGAAACTAGACAATTCCACCATCCTGAACGACTATTTCCCAGATTCGTGGATCTCCAGTGAACCATTTGTTACAACCAAACTTCCGGCGGATAATCCGGCCATGGATTTCTTCTTCTCCGACTCCGATCAGCTCCTAAATTTCGATAACTACCAAATTTTCTCATCAAATCCTTTCAACGACAGCGTCGTACCCGTGCAGACAACAGTCAAACCGCCGGTTCAGGCTCAGCTAATTCACAAACAGCCGCCGGAAAATCGATTCGAGATCGACTTCACAAGATCAAACATCACTTCCTACACAAACCAAAAATTCCAGGCTACGTCATCGTCAACGGACGTAGGAATCGTGCCTGACGTAAGCAGCGGCGGCGTCTCTGAAACGACGTCGTATCCTTTCGCAACCACGTCCGTGAAATCGGAAAATTACGATCCGATTCCGATCAGATCCATCAATCACGTGGACAGAAAAGCTAGGGTTTTGAGGTACAAGGAGAAGAGGAAGAACCGGAAATTCGAGAAGACGATTCGTTACGCTTCACGGAAGGCCTACGCCGAAACGCGGCCGCGAATCAAAGGGCGGTTTGCGAAAAGAACGGAATACGATTCTGATGCCGACGAAATATTCAGCTCCGGCGCCGGTAGTAATTTCTTCGCCGATGCAGGATACGGCGTCGTTCCGTCTTTCTGAATCTCTTTATGTATGAATAGTAACAATAAATTTAAATTATCTATTAATTAATGCTTTTTTTTATTTAATTATTTATTATTAATTTTATAACAGTCAAATGTACATGTGGCAAAATGGATCATAGTCTTAATTCTGATTGGCTGAGGGGGGCCTTTTCTCTTTCCTAATCCTAATTTAGAAGAATTATTAAAAACCCCTTAAAATATTGCTTGATAATGTCATTATATATAACTAGAATTTTGTCCTCGTGCGATGCACGGTATCATATTTTAAAAGTGATAAAAAAATTATCAATTTAATACATAAAAAAATATAATACACTAATATAGTAAAATTTATAAGAAAATAGTACTATTCATATTTTATATAACATTAGTTTGTTTTACGTAGTAAAATTTATAATCCAAATAAATAGGTTAAGATTTAACAAATCGAGTTTCTATCTTTATCTCTTAAGATTTGACTGTTGAGATATATTCATGAAAAATAGAAGATTGAAGCCGAAAGGATTCTCTACGGTTCAATGTCAATTTTGATTTGTTGAAAAATATAAGTAGGAAAGTACATAAAAAATATTAAAAATAAATAATTACAGGAATGCCATTAGGGTTTCTTAGGGTTGCTCAACGTTTCTTTCTTTTATATATAAGATAAATTGGTAAAATAATCAAAATAGGTTAATTGTTTTCTATGTACATAATGTTGTGAATTATTGGAAAATTTAAAAATACTTTTCATGTAAATTGACTATTTAATTTTTTTATTTGAGATAAGAAATAGGCAAGCAATAATAAGGTGGTGTTTGCAAATGATTATTTAAAAGCAGAAGTTAGTGATTGTGATTTAAGTTAGTTTTAAGTGCTTATTTCTAAAAGTTGGGGGTGTTTGCAAATATTTCAGAAAATGAACTAAAATTGAAAAAGCAGGGTTAGGGGTGCTTTTAAAAAAATAGCTTAAAGCAGATTATTTTAAGAGAAGCAAAAGCAAAAGTTGATTTTGCAAACACCTAAAAACAGATTATGAGTAAAAAAAACCGTATAATCACTTTCAAAAAGCATTTGCAAACACCACCTAACTCCAAGTGGATTTTAATTAAATGAAAAGAAAAATAGTGGGCCTTGTCAAAAGTGGTCCAAACCGCATGAAGTTCACGTGTCTCCTGGGCCCATACGGGTGGTGGGCCGGGCCGTAGGGGCAGCATTGTCTTTGGACCACCTTCACGTAACTTTCACTATAACTCCTCGAAGATTTTCCCCCGTGCGATGCACGGGATATTATTTAAATAGTGAAAAAAATATTCAATTTAATACATAATAACTAATAAGTAAATGTAGTACACTAATATAATAAAACTTAATAATGTAGTATTATTCACATCGAATTTCTAGCTTTTATCTCTTAAGATTTGAGATATATTGATGAAAATTAGGAGATCAATAATTGTTGAAAATTATAGTTAATAAATTAGAACAGAAAAAATATTAAAAATAAAGCATAATATAAGTAGCAATAATGTAGGATTCTTTACGGGTTAGTTTTAATTTTGATAATTGTTAAAAATTACGGTTAGAAATTAGTAGAGAAAAAATATTAAAAATAAATAATTACAGAAATACCATTAGGGTTTTTTATGGTTGACTAGCGTTTCTTTCTTTTATATATAAGATAATGAGAAAAACTTTCTTCCTGTCTCATCCCACAATTATCTCTGTACGGATGTTTTGTTAATTTGTATTCTCTCTTTGTATATCTCGATTCGTTATTTACATTGTTGTGCATCCCTTGTTTCAACAATTACCAAATTAAAGAGTTAAATTAAATAGGTCATTTTACAAGAAGTTTTACATTATGAATAATTAATTGCCTGATCATAGCACTGCGAATCTTTTTCTATTTTCGTAATCATCCATAAATCTACGTAACGTAAAATAAAACCAATTTCATCATCTATAATGATGAGCTAAAGAAAATTAAAGTATACTCACTCGAAAATCATCATATTTTACCGAAAAATAATAGTATATATATATGAAAAAAAATAATAAAAATTCCTAATTGTACTTGAATCAAAATTCAAATGTCATCCAAAGCAAAATCAGATGGAAGTTGGTACCCAAAAACCATGGAGTAATCATCCATTTCATCGCTTGTAAATTTTGGTATTCTTCTATTCATTCCTCTTCCCCCCTCCGCCGCCGTATCTTCACCGTATGTTACCATCTTTAACACCTAATTAAAATTTAAATAAAAAAAATTAGAAACGAATAATATATTCACATATATTAGGGTAATTACAACTACCCACTCAGCTATGAATTTTCTTACGAAAAAACCCCTCATTTAGTAGATAAATTTGATACAGTAATACTGAATGCGTAAGTAATACTGAACGTGTAAGACAATGCATAATTGAGGAGGTGGTTACATTTATCGAAACAGGAGGGAGTTTTCGTAATTTGATCTTACTGTAGGGGGTTCACCGTAATTTGCATAAAATAATGTTATGTTCTAATTGATTGAGATTATTACCTCAGTCATAGAGGGTCGCCAAATCGAAGACTGCCTCACACAATACGACGCCGTTAGCACCACTCTATACAATTGGTCCACGTCATACCTACCTCCCAATCTTGGATCAACCAATTCACTTAAATTTCCAGATTCCATTAAAGGCCTCGCCTAAATCAATTAATAAAATACGTCACAAATATTTATTTAAAAAAAATAACAATTTAATTACTCGAAAAATATATTTAAAAAAAAAAAAATCAAATTGAACAAAATTACGAAATTACCCATAGAAGAAGATTTTGCCTTAAAGGGTCAATAGGCCTTCGTCCAGTTATAATTTCAAGAAGAAGTATTCCAAATGCAAAAACATCTGTTTTCTCATCAACAATTCCATGCATAAAATACTCGGGAGCTAAATACCCGAAAGTACCCTCGATCGAAACCACCGCATGGTGACTCCATTTGCTCGGCAGCCATTTCGCTAGACCGAAATCCGATATCTGTCATAATTTATTTAATTACCACTTACATATAACTATATAGAAACTATTTTTATTTTACCAAAAAAAAAAAAAATATCACCTGCGGCTCGTAATCCGGACCGAGAAGAACGTTGGACGCTTTAATATCGCGATGAATTATCCGATGCTTGCAGCATTTGTGAAGGTAATGTAGACCCTTAGCAATCCCCAGTATTATTCGGTATCGGATTGGCCAATCTAGTGACTTGTTTGTTTGGCCTTTAATTCACAACACGAATATTCGTGTCATTTTTTAATTTTTTTTATGGCGCGGTAATAGAAATTAAAAAGTTTGGCCAAACAGGACTTTACCATGCAATGCAGAAGAGAGAGTTCCATTAGGGTAGAATTTGAAGATGAGATACAACCCATTCTCGAAGCAACATCCGATCAATTGGGCTGTGTTTGGATGATTCACATGTCCGATTATTCCCAGCTCGATTAGAAACTCTTTTTCCTTGTTTGCGGCACTTTTATTGTCCTTAGCCAAACGCTTCACTGCTACGATTCTTCCGTTACTAAGTTCACCTCTGTAAACCTCTGAATAACCCCCTTTTCCCACCAAATTCTCTGAAAAAATAAACGAAATAAAATCGAGTTTCTTTTTCTTTTTTTCTTTTTTTTTTTCGGGATTATTGAAAAAATAGTAATGAAAATCGAAGAATAATGAATAGTTACCGATGTGGAAATTCTTTGTGGCGGTAGCGATTTCTTGGTAGCTAAAGCAACTGAGCAAAGGCTGCTGCTTTTGTTTATTAGCAAACGAGGCATTGTCGTGCTTTCGTGTGCTCCGATTATACGAGAGGCGGAAAATTGACGAAATTGCCCTAAATGAAGACTTTTTTGATTCCCCTGAATTTGAACTTTCTTCGTCAGTATTGCTTTGTGAATCTTTATCTCCCTCGCAAATATCGAGCACAGTTCTTGGTGATGAGAATGCATTTTCGTCGTCGAATTCTAATATTCATCGAAAATCAGCACAAAATTATAAAAGTTACACGCAACGAGTAGCGAAATAATACATTTTAGAATTAAAAAAACAAAAAAAAAACCTTGTTTTATAAGGCCTTGATTTCTTCGTCGGACCAGGGCTAACGAGCAACCTTCTGGAGCATTCTGGAAGCAGTAATTCGAGACCGAGGATCGTTTTCTAGTCGATAGAAAAGGGTAAGTTGTGCGATTCTTGAATTTTTCTTCGACAAACTTTTTACGAATGAATTTCTTTCTGACCTGTTTGTTTGGTTCGTTTTGCCACCGATGATAAGATAATCCGCTAACGTGGTTTTCGCTTCCTCAATCAATCCTATACCTGCATTCGAACTTATTCCAACTCTCGCCTCCAAATTCACCTGATAAATTGCAAAAAAATTAAAATTAATTTACTAAAATAATAATATTCCAAAAAAAAATTAACCGCCAAAAATTTCTCGCCTCGTTAGACTGGCAAGTCTTGAAAAGTTCTCCGACGATCGATATAACGAACGATTTCGCGTGACGGATTTGCTTTTGATGCTTTGCAGCATCAATTCGTTTCTTTTTCGGCATGGCCCCTGTTACATTAAACAAACATCAAACGAAACACGATTCATTTGTATTTAGTTACTTATCGAAGAGTTAAAAATGCGATTAGGGAGAATTAAAATTACCAATTACATGCAATGCGACAACCGTGTCGCCCGGACGGCTCAAAACTCCGATCGCCCAAGAAAGAAGCTCGTTACTTTCGTCAGCATCTAAAGGGATTCCTACAAGAATTCTTGCAGGCAATGTAGGAACCATTATATATATTTATTTATTTATTTTCTAGTAGATATTTTTTTCAATTGGTTTCTAGATATTTGTTTATATTCACAGTGACGAACATGAACCCTACAATATATATACGTATAGGACAACCTTCGAGTAATCGAATTATTCTTATTCGACAAGCAAAACACGAAAAAGCTAATGTAAAAGTGCTTTTGGGGTATAATCTAAAAGTGATTTTTGTGTGGGGGGATGATTTGAGAGATAAGCAAAGGTGAGTGACACACATTTGATTTGTCTTGTTACATAAGCTCTTTGAGTTGAGTTTGGTGGTAAATATGTGAACTTAATATTTGCCTCTCAAAAGGGTCCCCTCACTTTATCATCAAACAAAACTTTGAAAGGACACTATGCCACGTGTCCTTTTTTCCTTTTCTATTTAATTTATTTATTATTAATATCCCTTGGGGACATAATTTTTAGGATAAATTACTGTCACCACATGAGGTAAGGTCACCCTTCAACTATAAATCTTCTTACACGTCCATATTTGCGGTGTCAAATCTAGTGTTATCTTCCAAATTATGTGGAATATTCTCCAGTTCGTACCCGTTTTACCATATTCGAGCTCCGCATTTGGAAACAAGATGATCATAATATGTGTTTCTTGACTTGTAAATATCAGATTGTGCTGCATCATAAACCGCATTTTTCAATCAAAACGAGTACAAACTAGAGAACATTTCACGAAATCTAGAAAATTTAGTTGAATTTGACAATATAAGGGTGGACGTGTAAGAAAATTCATACGTGAGGGGCTGATTGTAATTACTCAAACATGAAGATTTTTTAGTAATTTGGCCTTATCTCAGAAGTGGCCGTGATTTACCCTAATTTTAAAAGGAATCAAAGTGATGATGGGGAGTGATTATGCTTATGAGTCTGAAAAAATCTTTCATAAACCAAACTGCATTCAATCATAATTCAGCCAACATCTAGGGTACAGACCTTATCATCCAATTGTACACCCCTCGAGCTCGAGAAATAATCGGCTACAGTCAAGAACACGTGTTTCCCCGAAACCACATCGACCGAAGGTACACCTTCGATGCAATCGACGTTGATCTCTCATCAATAAATACTTCTCTAATCCACCATTTGCATTGCTGGTCTAGCCAAAGTGATTGTGTAAGATAGATTCCCAATCCCATGCACGAAACTTTCTTGAGCAAGAACCACTGCATGATTCGGAATCAGATCAAACGGAATCAATAAAGATCCTCCGAACGCTTCTCTAATACACACTTCGTTCGATTCCAAAACATCTTGAATCTTGATTTCATCCCCATCCAATAATTTAAAATAAACCCTGCTTTCTTCTGCATTTTCTGAACCCGGTTCACAACCCCACGCGCAATTCCGGCCTCGTACAAAGACTCGTCCGAAGGTAAATCCAACACCACCATCTCCTCTAGCATCCATTTCTTGTGCATTCACGTTGTTACCAATGGGCTTGAATTCTCGAATAATATCGATGTCGCCGATTTTCAAGACATGCATGCATTCCGATTGCGATTTCTCCCACTCTCTCAAAAGTCAAGATTTCTTTCGTCAACACTTTTTTCGCTATATCTCCCATTGACTTTCCGACCCTTTTCCCCAAGACGCTGAAATCGGGCTCCGCAAAGAATATCGTTGCATGTAATCAGAGACTTTACGTTAAGCTCCTCAAGCACATACTCCCTTAGCTTACCAGAAATATCTTCCAAGAAATTCGAATCGGGATGCACAATCACCATCTCTTTGAGAGGCGATTTAAGGGGTTTGTTGTGAATCTCTCGAATTTTGCGTGCAAGGTCAATAACCGTCATCATCCTATCGACACTTTCTTCGATATGAATATTCCCCCCTTCTCCTTCAAGTGTAGGGAAACTGCAGTAATGGATGCTTTCTTCCGATTCATTATTAGTAGCAACTTTCCTCAGATTCTGGTAAAGAACGGTGTGAATTAATGGAGCCATTGATATGCATGCCGTTACAAGCACGCGATAAAGAGTTGAAAAGGCAGTTCTGGCATCCTCTTCACCCTTACGACCCTTCAATCTTTTTCGATTGAACCGAACATATACGTTTGTTAAGTTGTCTAGAAACTTCAATAGACGAGGAACCACCGTATAGAGCCCTATAAGCATCCATTTCTTGCCTGACAAAACGGACTAGACTTCGAGCGGCAGAATTAATTGATTGGTCGAGCACAATTCGAGGACTTTTCAAGAACGGATCGATCGATCGGTGTAAACGGTGAAAGCCCCTCAACTTCGATCCGATTTTCTTAGCGTTTTGCACGAGGGATCGAACCAGCAATCGAACACATCCTCCACCCGTCTAAGAACACCGAATTCGGGACCTCGGCTCGAAGGGATTGTGATGTGATCGATTTTATGACGATGCAAATCAGTCATCTTTTCACATAGTTGTACGCAACAACTCTAAAGGCCACATCGGAAAAGTCTTTAAAGTAGTCAAACAGAGGGACATACTTCTTTCTGAAAAGTGAAGCGCCGCTCCACTTATCCAAAATCTCGTTTTCTTACCCTTTTCGATAGGAAGCTCCGACAGACGTGCTTCGGCAGCCACGTAAACTTTCCCATCGAACTTACTACGGAATTTCACATAAACGACATCAGCATTCACGCAGAGTGCAAGATTACAAGGTAACGTCCAAGGCGTCGCGGTCCACGCAACAAAGCACGCACAATCAGGAAAAGCTACCATGATTTCAGGGTCGGAAACTTCTTTGTAGTTGTCGGTGGCTTCGAAATTCGATAATGGAGTCTTGCACCCTGTGCTATATGGCATAACTTGCAAAAGCAGACATAACAGTGTGATCAGTCTAGTGGCGGAACCAGCATAGGGCCAACGGACGGGGGCCATGGCCCCCTCCCTCATTTCTTAAATCCCTATTAGTTTATATAGAAATACGAAATTTTCGTGTATAACAAATAGCATTAACGGCCCCTCCTCGGAATTTTTTTAATGCATTCGGCCCTCCGGTTATACCTTGAAACTTTTGTAGACAAGGCCCTTTTGACAACGGTCTTCTCCCACTCGCTCACGCGCCTCTGCACGCGTCGTTGTAATTCGGAATCCCCAACTTAAATGGGCCGAGCCCGTTAACCCGATACAGGATACTAATTATTAGGCTTTATTAATATTTAAGTCCCATTCATAACAAAATATTGCAAATCGGGCCTGAATATGCTGTCCCACGTGCATTATTATAATTTGATCCATCATAAGAAAATAAAAAAAATAAAAAGAAAATGGAAGACTTGTTATTTTCAAACATTTTGGAGCAACAATAATGGCAACTTTTCGTATTATCTTTTTTCTAACGATGAATGAATCATTTCATTTCATTTATGACGTCATAAACAATAGTAGGGCTATCGTTAATGCTATTATCTGAGGATCGAATCATCAGTTAATATTTTGCGATGAGCTTTGTAACATATCAAATGAATATATTGAACTTTAATTCAATGATAATTAACATGCATGTATATATACAGACAGATGATATATTTTATGCTACATTGAAAACACTATTAGATGTGTGATAAAATATAATCCGATGAAGTTACCCAAGGCATCATAGAAGAAACCTCATATATAGAGTATAAGATCTCCTTTATTAATTAAAATATGCTCACAAAATTACTAAAAAGAAATGGACAAAATTACGGCTACCCTATGCATTTAAAGTTAATTTACGAAGAAAAAAAAAACACTTATTTTTTAAAATTGCTAAATTTACTTACTGAAAGAGAAAATTTTTTGTAATATAATACACAGTTGATGAGCGGTTACGTTGTAAATTCTAATTACCCAAACAAAATAGATTCCTTCCGTTCGTAATTTAACATTAATTCAGAAGGGTGACTGTAATTTTCCAAAAAAAAATATAACGGAACAATTTCAATATATGTAATCTTCCTCCGACGACGAAAGAGTATTTTCAGTAAGAGCAAAGCTCTTACTACCAAAAGAAGAAGCCCTGCTCGACATCGGAGTTGCCAAGAAAGTTGGCTTTTCTTGACCGGCCATGATCACTAAATACTTCTCTTCAAGTTCCACCGGTGGTGGATTAGCGGCGGCGCCGCCTGCCTCCCCTCCTTCAAGATCCCTTTCGACGGTGGCGTCATCCCTGTTTTCAACTTCTCCGGCGGCGGAGAGCTTCCAGTAGGAGCATGCCAAGACCAGAAGAGCAAAAGCAATGAGACCCAGCATGGCCGACAGTCCTCCGAACAGGTACGGCACCGGCGACTGCCATGGTGACCGCCGCACCAAAGGAGACGGTGGCGCCGCCGCCGCCGCTGATGAGTACTCCCCCGGTGTACCCATTTCTTTATTATCCATTCTAATTCTATATATGAAATATAATTAATAGTCCTTCGATTTTATATATTTATATAGGCGTAACTTTTTTTATTGAGAAATATGAATTGGAATTGGAGTGGTTGAATAGATGAGCTAAGTGTGGGGCTTTTTATTTTATAGAAGCATAAATAACTTTGTTTTATGTTAGAATCGATAAATTAATGGCCGCGGCTATATGCAAGACTAAAAACACTTGTGCAAGATCAAATTAAAATTTTCAATGTATAAATAATATAATATCCTTACTTGTTAAAAAAAATAGAAAATTCGAAATGTGCAAGACCAAAAATTTAAAAACACAAAAAACCCTATCACAAGACCACAAATCACAAGACCAACTCTCATCTTATCTATCTTCCAAAAACCACAAGACATTTCTCCTTCCTCCTCCATAAACCCACAAAACCTAAACATTCAAAATCATCAAAACTCAACAAATCTTACAAAAATGGCAAGTATGGAGTCAGAAGACATCAGAATAGAAGATTCTAAGATGGAAGAACCCAAGAAGGTAGGCGTAGATGAAGAAGGTGGGCGTAGGTAGGGTTTGAGGAGGGGGCTGTTTGTTTTTTTAATTCACGCTTCTATTTTTTTTTTGGTTTTCCTCATTACTTGTGTTTGGTCTTGCATGAGAAAAAAAGCCAATTTAATTTATGGGTATATTTGTCATTTCATCTTAATAAAATATAATCTTTTGGAATATTTCTTTAATTTGGTCTTGCACAAGTGGAATTAGTATTGCATATTGCCGCAACCTAAATTAATTTCACTCGCACGTCAGATTATAATATATATATGATAAATTACAACTAACCCCTGAAGTATGGTAAAATTACGAAAAAACCCTTCGTATTTGGATAATTATAATCACTCGTCAACTATGAATCTTCTTACACGTTCACCCTAATGGTGTCAAATTCAACATAATCTTCTAGACTTCGAAATGTAGAGCTCGAATGGGATAAAAGATTACAAAATTGAGAATATTTCATATAATTTAGAAGATTCCACTAAATTTGACACCGCAATAGTTGACGTGTAAAAAGTTTCATAGCTGAGGGGTGATTGTAATTACCCAAACATGAGGAATTTTTTGTAATTTGATCATAAATAATTGTAATTTACTCTATATATAAATTCCTATATAATACATACACATCCAAATGTCAATTTTTTTAGTATATATTTTATCGGACGAAGCATTTACAAGATTGAGAAAAAACAAAAATAAAAGTAATAGTGATTAGATATTGTTTTAATTAAAATGTGATGACACCAACCTTTTGATTTAAAATTGTTATATTCAAAAAAGCAAAGTGAAAAAGTATGTGCAATTTTGCACATTCACGTAATATGTTTGATAACTTTAGTTGAAGATAATACGTACGTGTATATAAAATATATAAGCGGTCGAATAATTCACAAATAAAAAGCCAGAAATAAAAAGGCAAAATTAAAGTTGGATTTTGCATAGCGTAGCACGTAACATTTGGTTGCATAAAAACGACAGCTGCAAATAGCTCGAAAAAGCTTGTATTATTTGATTATATATGCAAAAACTTTTACCAAATTCAATCTCTTCTTTATATTCATATCGTCTCGTCTTTTCATTTCGTTTTCGATTGTCTCTTTCTCTATATCGGTGATACTATTTTGACTGGTCCGGTTATCATCGTTGGGAACTAAGAATTGGGCACGTGGCCCCCCACTGTCACAAATTATAACGCAAACTCGACCACTTTGGCTAACCTTAGGGGCCAATTTATCAAAAAAAAAAAAAAAAATCCAAATTAGGCCGTTTTATTCGTTGAAACACGAACTCTTGACAATGCAATCTAAGACAAACAAGATAGCTTCCGATTTAAAAAAAAAAAATCGACATAATATACAAGGTTAGTAGACGAAACGAGGAGGATGGATCTGTACAACAATGAGTTGATATCAATCAGCCTTGAGCATCGTTAATTTAGTAAATCAAGAATAAATAATTATCGGAAAGAAGCTCCAGCAAACGGGGTGATCTAGATAAAAATAAAATAAAAAATAAAAAACGGGGGTTCGTAGTTATTCGCCCTTGACCATAAGAGAGTGATGTGGGCACACGTTTAATTTCGACAAACGTTGAGAACTCTTTGTTCATCCGGTTGTTTCCATGGGTTCACCGTCCACTTGCATGTATGCCCTCTGTCCATTCTCCCTCCTCCTTAGCTCGAACCGAATCGCTGAAGCCTATATATTATAT